ATGTTTGTTTGTTTGTTTGTTTGTTTGTTTGTTTGTTTGTTTGTTTGTTTGTTTGTTTGTTTGTTTGTTTGTTTGTTTGTTTGTTTGTTTGTTTGTTTGTTTGTTTGTTTGTTTGTTTGTTTGTTTGTTTGTTTGTTTGTTTGTTTGTTTGTTTGTTTGTTTGTTTGTTTGTTTGTTTGTTTGTTTGTTTGTTTGTTTGTTTGTTTGTTTGTTTGTTTGTTTGTTTGTTTGTTTGTTTGTTTGTTTGTTTGTTTGTTTGTTTGTTTGTTTGTTTGTTTGGGATGGGGGTGGCGTGTGTGTTGAGAGGGTGGTGGGCTTGATTGTGTGCTGTCATTTAGTAGGGGGGGGAGCGTTAAGCGGTTACGTGGTAGTTTATCAATGTGATAAAGGTACCCAGCAAGAGAGTTGCTATTATATATTAATGGGATTTAAGTAGAAATTAGAATGCAATGGGTATCGATACGGTAAGGTAATAGCAACAAAGAGTTGCTATTATATATTAATGGGATTTAAGTAGAAATTAGAATGCAATGGGTATCGATACGGTAAGGTAATAGCAACAAAGAGTTGCTATTATATATTAATGAAGTTTAAGTAGAAATTAGAATGCAATGGGTATCGATACGGTAAGGTAATAGCAACAAAGAGTTGCTATTATATATTAATGAAGTTTAAGTAGAAATTAGAATGCAATGGGTATCGATACGGTAAGGTGATAGCAACAAAGAGTTGCTATTATATATTAATGAAGTTTAAGTAGAAATTAGAATGCAATGGGTATCGATACAATATGTGATGTTGATGAGTCTAAAAATTTAGTCGAAAGTACCTAGTGTTGTTTAGAAAGTTAGAGGAAGTGTAAAAGTGAAAAAGCATGTCCTAAAGCATTCACTAAATAGCAGCATATTTAAGGGTTTGTGGATACTCCATAACCAAATGTAAACCAAAGTGCATCAGTGCGGAGATGATTCCCCTAATACTTCAACCGTCTCATTCAGGCATCCCTGAGAATGAGAAATAGGCCGCAACACATGTAAGCCCACGTCAACAAATAGTATTTACCCGTTGCACTGGAAGGGCTGCTTGAAGACGCAGAGAAAAAAAAGGGAACCAACAGTGCCAAACCCCTAGATGCCGCGATCACGGACGAAAATGGTGAACTATAGCCAACCAGATGTATCGGTGAAGAGCAAGGTGTAGGGACTAACCAAGTTATGGCCCTGACATAGGAACCAGAGGCGCAAAAGAGCAAGTTGGGCTAGGGGTGTAGGGGGAAAGTATGGTCCTGAAGCTAGTAACGTAGGATCTTTCATACGTCGAGTTGCTGATTTCACGTGAGGAGACCGATTAATAAATAACCTGGTCCCTGAAGCTAGCGCCCGGAGAATGGTTGAATGTTGGGCTTTCACTCCATGAAGACCAAGTGTTCAAGCACTGCCGTACCTATTTCTAGAGAGACATGCACAGAACTAGCAATTCCATGGGTTTAGTCTTTTCCAATAGGATAGGAGATAGTCGTTTGTTACATGACAGTCCCCATTTGTAGAATCATTACATGATACTCGTTTAATCCGAAGGGATTAGGAGCTGGTCCTTGTACCATGGACTAAACAATCATTAATTACATGACAGTCTCTACCCTTAGAATCATTGCATAATACTCGTTTAATACGAGAGAATAGGAGCTGATCCTTACACCATGACTTGATTTAGTCCTAGAAAGTATTGCTCTGTTTGTCCTTGAAACATGGCAGGGGCTAAGGAGTTCTGCCCGATAATACAATAACAGTCCTAGTACGTACATTAAATGTACTTGATAACATTAATGTAATGTACATAGTACATAGAGTAATGTATAATATACATGGGGGGTAGGGGGGGGAGGGGAATTGTATGTATAGGGTGGACTCTTTTGGGGGTTCCTGTGGTTGAAGTAACAACGGCGGCTTTTCAGGCCGTAGACCTTGGAGAAAAGCCAAGCGGGAATTGCTATGACTTATCTCGTGCTGTTTTTGGGGGTATGCTTTGTTTTGGGGGGATTGGCAGTTGCATCTAATCCTTCACCTTATTATGGGGTGGTAGGGTTGGTGGTAGCTTCTGTTGTGGGGTGTGGGTGGTTGTTAAGTTTGGGGGTTTCTTTTGTGTCGCTGGTTTTGTTTATAGTCTATTTGGGGGGGATATTGGTGGTTTTTGTGTACTCTGTGTCTTTGGCAGCGGATTTGTTTCCTGCAGGTTGGGGGGAGTGGCCTGTTGTGGGGTATAGTGCGGGGTTTATCTTGGTGCTTGTTGTTGGGTTAGGGGTTGGGGGTTTTGAGGGGTGGAAGTTTGGGGTAAGCACTGTTGATAGTGGAGGTGTGGTGTCTGTTCGCTTGGATTTTAGTGGGGTGGCTATATTCTATTCGTGGGGGGTGGGGATGTTTTTGGTGGCGGGGTGAGGGTTATTGCTGGCGTTGTTTGTTGTATTGGAGCTTGTGCGGGGGTTGTCTCGAGGGGCGATTCGTGCAGTTTAGTGGGGTGTCAGAGAATAGTTTAATTTAAAATGCCAGCTTTGGGAGTTGGATATGGAGGTTTAAGTCCTCTTTCTCTGAGGGGTTCGGGGGTGAACTCTAAGAAGGGGTGTAGTCTTCACTCTTTGGCTTACAAGACCAATGTTTTTTATAAACTATTAGAGTATTTTTAGTGGTTGAGTATTTTGTTTTCTAGGGCCCCGATGGAGGGGAAGAGGATCAGGAGGATGGTGAAGTAGGTGAGGGAAGCTAATTGGCCGATGATAATGAAGGGGTGTTCTACTGGTTGGCTACCTACCCATGTTAGGATGGCAAGGTTGGCTACTAGGGCTCARAATAGGAGTTGGGAGAGGGGACGGAAGGCTATTGTGCGCTGTTTAGACTTGTGGAGGAGGGGGATTAGGAATAGGATTAGTACGGATGCTGCTAAGGCTAGGACACCTCCCAGTTTGTTGGGGATCGAGCGTAGGATAGCATATGCGAATAGGAAGTATCATTCTGGTTTGATATGTGCGGGTGTGACTAGTGGGTTAGCTGGGGTGAAGTTTTCTGGGTCACCTAGTAGGTTGGGTGAAAATAGGGCGAGGGTTGTTAATGGAAGGAGTATGAATGCGAACCCTAAGATATCTTTTGTGGAGTAGTAGGGGTGGAATGGAATTTTGTCGGAGTTGGCTACGATGCCTAGTGGGTTGTTTGAGCCTGATTCGTGGAGGAAGGTAAGGTGGATGAGGGTGAGGCCTATGATTACGAAGGGGAGGAGGAAGTGTAGTGCGAAGAATCGGGTTAGTGTGGGGTTGTCCACTGAGAAGCCGCCTCAGGCCCATTCTACGAGGGTTTGGCCAATATATGGGATAGCCGAGAATAGGTTGGTGATGACAGTGGCTCCTCAGAAGGACATTTGTCCTCATGGTAAAACATAGCCTACAAAAGCAGTTGCTATGAGGGTAAGTAGGAGGATGATGCCTGTGTTTCAAGTTTCTTTGTATAGGTATGAGCCGTAGTAGAGTCCGCGGCCAATATGGAGGTAGATGCAGATGAAGAAGAATGAGGCTCCGTTTGCATGGAGGTTGCGGATTAGTCAGCCATATTGTACATCTCGGCATGTGTGGGCGATGGAAGAGAAGGCTAGAGTTGTGTCTGTAGTGTAGTGCATGGCTAGTAGGAGGCCGGTCAGGATTTGTGTAGTCAGGCAAATGCCTAGGAGGGATCCGAAGTTTCATCAGGCAGAGATGTTTGATGGGGTGGGTAGGTCAATTAGGGAGTTGTTAATTATTTTTAGGAGAGGGTGGGATTTTCGGAGGTTGGGGGCCATTAGTTTTAAGTCTGCGTTGATAGGATGAGGAGGATAGATAGGGCGAAGGATCCCAGATAGGTTTTGATTAGTCCGGTGTGAAGGGTGGTTGAGGTTTTGATTGCTATGAGTTGTAAGTCGGTAAGTCCTTCGGGGCCTATTTTTTTGTACCAGGAGAGGTCGATTAGGTGGGAGGCGATTTTTTGTCCGCTGTTTAGTAGGTTAGTGGTGTTGGGGCGATGTATTAGGGGGTTGAAGTATCCTAAGGAGGAGGAGAAGTTTAGGTGGGGGTTTTGTTTGGGGTAGGTTAGGGTGTGTGTTATGGTTGAGAGTTCTATAGCTAGGGCAATACCTAGTGCTGTGGCGATGACGGCCGCAGTTTTTGTAGTGGTGGGTATGGTTATTGGGGGGGTTTTTGTGGGTGTGATGTAGGATGTGATGAGTAAGCCAGCAAGGATGCTGCCTAGGGCGAGGCGGGTGATAGGGTTTGTGATTATGGGATTGTTTTCATTTGTTGGGGAGTTTGTAGGTGTGCGGGGAAAGCCTGTTTGGACTAGTAGTGTTATTCGTAGGCTATAGGTTGCGGTGAATGATGTGGCTAGGAGTGTTAAGAGGAGGGCTCAGGTGTTTAGGTAGGAGGTATTTAGGCTTTCGATAATGAGGTCTTTTGAGTAGAATCCGGCTAGGAATGGAGTTCCTATGAGGGCAAGGTTTCCAATGGTTAGGCAGGAGGTGGTTGTTGGGAGTATTTTTTGTAGGCCCCCTATTTTGCGGATGTCTTGTTCTCCATTGAGGCTGTGGATGATTGTTCCTGAGCAGAGGAATAGTATGGCTTTGAAGAAGGCGTGTGTTGAGATGTGGAGGAAGGCTAGTTGTGGGAGGTTTAGTCCGATAGTTACTATTATCAGTCCTAGTTGGCTTGATGTGGAGAAGGCAATAATTTTTTTGATGTCATTCTGTGTGAGGGCACATGTAGCGGCAAATAGTGTGGATAGGGCCCCTAGGCATAGGCATAGGGTGAGGGCAGTTGGGTTATTAGCGAGTAGGGGGTGAGTGCGAATAAGTAGGAAAATTCCGGCTACTACTATTGTGCTGGAGTGGAGTAGGGCTGAGACTGGGGTTGGGCCTTCTATGGCGGCGGGTAGTCAGGGGTGAAGGCCGAATTGGGCTGACTTTCCTGTGGCGGCGAGAATGAGACCCAGCAGGGGGAGGGTGGGGGTTTGGGTTGGGAGGGGGGCTTGTTGTATTTCTCAGGTGTTTATTGTTGAGGCGAGTCACGCTATGCTTAGGATGAGGCCAATGTCTCCGATTCGGTTGTAGAGTACGGCTTGGAGTGCGGCTGTGTTGGCTTCTGCTCGGCCCTGTCATCAGCCGATTAGGAGGAAGGATATTATTCCGACTCCTTCTCAGCCGATGAATAGTAAGAATATGTTGTTGGCAATAGTTAGGATTAGTATGGCGATTAGGAATGTGAGGAGGTAGAAGAAGAATTTTGTGATATGTGGTTCTGAGGCTATGTATCATGTTGCGAATTGAAGGATAGATCATGTTACGAACAGTGCGATGGGGAAGAATATTATGGAGTATTGGTCTATTTTGAAGCTGAGGGGAATTTTGAAGTTTGTGGTGAATTTTCACTCTCAGTAGGATGTAATGCTTTCTGTGCCTGAGAGTATGAAGAGGGTTATGGGGACCAGGCTGATTAGGAAGGCGGTTTTGACAGTGCGTGTGATGGTGGTTGGGGAGTTTGAGGATGTTTTTGATACGGGGAGTAGTAGGGTGGGGGTGAGGATGATGGCTAATGTAAGGAGTAGGGAAGTGTTAAGGAGTAGTGTTGTTTCCATTACTTTTACTTGGATTTGCACCAAGATGGGTGGTTCCTAAGACCAGTGGATTGCTGTTATCCTTTAAAAGTTAAGGGGGCTGAGGTTTTAGACTCAGATGCAGGAGTTAGCAGCTCTTGTTGGTTGAACCTCCCCTCGGCAGGTAAGAAGGGTTTAACTTCTATTTTTAGAATCACAGTCTAATGTCTTGGTTGAGACTATACTTGCTATGAGAGAATTCCTGAGATGAGGCTTGGTTTTAGGATGAGGAGTAGCATGGGGATAATGTGGAGGGTTATTAGGAGGTGTTCTCGTGTGTTTGAGTTTTGGAGGGATGTGATGTAGGTTGGGAGGGTCCCTCGTTGGGTTGTTAGTAGTATAAATAGGGTGTATGTGGCAGTTAATAGGGTTGCGGCACCGGTTAGGAGAATTGTCAAAGAGGACCAGTTGAATAAGGCGATTATAATGGTTAGTTCTGCTATCAGGTTTGTTGTAGGTGGGAGTGCCATGTTTGAGAGGTTGGCTAGAAGTCATCATGTAGCTATAAGGGGTAGGAGGGGTTGGAGGCCTCGTGTCAGAAGAAGAATTCGGGTGTGTGTTCGTTCGTAATTTGTGTTGGCTAGGCAGAATAGTATTGAGGAGGTGAGTCCGTGGGAGATTATGAGGATCATTGCACCGGAGAATGCCCAGTGAGTTTGGATTATACTTGCAGCAATGACTAGGCCTATATGACTTACAGAGGAGTAAGCGATGAGTGATTTTAGGTCGGTTTGACGTAGGCAGATTGAGCCTGTTATTAGTGCTCCCCATAGGGCTAGGGTGAGGAATGGGTAGTGTAGGTGGTCTGAGATGGGGCCTGTTAGTAGAGTGATTCGTATGATACCGTAGCTCCCTAGTTTTAAGAGGAGGGCTGCTAGTAGTATAGATCCTGCAATTGGTGCTTCTACGTGGGCTTTGGGTAGTCATAGGTGGAGTCCATATAAAGGGGCTTTTACTATGAATGCTGTTAGTAGGGCTAGGCTTGATAGGAGGCCTGTTCAGGAGTTGTTGAGTGTGGGAGGGGTTAGTCCTAGTATTGTTAGGTGTAGTGTGCCAATTTGTGCGTGCAGGTGGAGGATTACGATGAGTAGGGGTAGTGAGCTGATGAGGGTGTAGAATAGGAGGTAGATGCCGGCACTTAAGCGTTCTGGTTGGTTGCCCCATCGTGTGATTAGGATTAAAGTGGGGATTAAGGTTGCCTCAAATGAGATGTAGAATAGTGTTAGTTCTGTGGCTGAGAAAGCTAGGATGAGGAAGGGTTGGATTGTGATTAATGTTGAGATGAAGATTCGTTTTCGTGTTGGAGGTTCGTGTTGAAGGTGGTTTTGGCTTGCTAGGATTATGAGGGGTAACAGTCAGCAGCATAGTACTAGTAGGGGGGATGAGATTTGATCGATACCGGTTCATTGTGTGGGGTTTTTGTGTGGGTAGTATGATGGGAGTAGTCATTGGAGGCTAAGTGTGGCAATTAGGATGCTATGGGTGGTGGTGTTGACCCATAGGAATTTTTGGGGCGATAGGAGGGTGGTGGGAAGGAGTATGATTGTTGGGAGGATGATTTTTAGCATTGTAGGAGGTTTAGGTTGTGTAAGTGGTCGGAGCCGTGAGTTCGGGTTGAGGCAACTAGTATGGCTAGGCCTGCACCTGCTTCGCAGGCGGAGAATGTGAGTATGAGTATAGGTATAAGGGTGAAGGAGGGGGCTTGGTTTTCGATGGGTCAAATTGACAGGGCGATGTATATGGATAGTATCATGCTCTCTAGGCAGAGTAGGGCTGAGATTAGGTGGGTCCGGTGGAAAGCTAGTCCTAGGCTGCTTAGGGCGAATGCTGAGTAGAAGCTTAGGTGTATGAAGGACATAGAGAAAGTCATAGGGTTGAACTATGGTCTGTTGAGCCGAAATCAACTGTCTTGATTAAACTAACTTTCTGTGGTTACTCTGCCCACTCTAGGCCTCCTTGTGTTCACTCATAGATGAGGCCCAGTGTGAGGAGGAGGATGATGGTGGAGGCTCAGGTTAGGGTGGTGGTGGGTGATTGGAGTTGGGTAGCCCAAGGAAGTGGGAGTAGGAGGGCGATTTCTAGGTCGAATAAGAGGAATAAGATTGCTACTGAGGAAGAATCGGATTGAGAATGGGAGGCGGGCTGACCCGAGAGGGTCGAAACCACATTCATATGGGGATAGTTTTTCTGAGTCTGGGTTGGCTTGTGCCAATCAGAAGTTTAATGTGGTTAGGATAGCACTGAGGGCGAGGGAGAGGGTGAGTATGAATGTGATTATGTTGATTGCTCTTCTCTGGGGTTGAACCAGACTTTAGAGATTGGAAGTCAATTGTAATGGGTATACTAGAAGAGCAGGCTCCTCATCAGTAGATGGTCATATAGAGGAATAATCAGATGATGTCTACGAAGTGTCAGTATCAAGCTGCTGCTTCAAATCCGAAGTGGTGGTTGGATGTGAAGTGGAATTTAATTAGTCGGAGGAGGCAGATGGATAGGAATGAGGAGCCTATGATTACGTGGAGTCCGTGGAATCCTGTAGCGACGAAGAAGGTTGAGCCGTATACGCCGTCAGCAATTGAGAATGGTGCTTCGTAGTATTCTATTGCTTGGAGTGCTGTGAAGTAGAATCCTAGGAGGATTGTTAGGGTTAGTGCGTGGATTGCTTGTTTTCGGTTACCTTCGGTGATACTGTGGTGTGCCCATGTTACGGTAACACCTGAGGCTAAGAGGATGGCTGTATTTAGTAGGGGGACTTCTAGGGGGTTTAGTGGTTTAATTCCTGTTGGGGGTCATTGTCCGCCTAGTTCTGGGGTGGGGGCTAGGCTGGAGTGGAAGAATGCCCAGAAGAAACCTAGGAAAAAGAATGCTTCGGATGTGATGAATAGGATTATTCCGTATCGTAGGCCCTTTTGTACTGTGGGGGTGTGGTGGCCTTGAAATGTGCTTTCTCGTACAATGTCTCGTCATCATTGTAGCATGACTAGGAGTATGGAAAGTAGGCCAAGGGTTAGGAGTTGTGGGGAGCTGTGGTGGAACCATATGATTAGTCCAGAGGTGGTGAGTAGGGCTGCGGCTGCTCCGAAGATGGGTCAGGGGCTTGGGTCTACTATGTGGTAGGAGTGTGCTTGGTGGGCCATTAGATATTTTCTTGTAAGTAGAGGCTTAGTAGGAGGACGAAGACGTAGGCTTGGATTATGGCTACTGCTACTTCTAGGATGGTTAGGAGGAATAGGATTGATGTGGTTAGGATGGATACGGTTGGTATAATTGGGAGCAGTGCAGTGGTGGCTGTGGAGATTAGTTGAATGAGTAGGTGGCCTGCTGTGAGGTTTGCTGTGAGGCGGACCCCAAGAGCTAGGGGACGGATGAGTAGGCTAGTGGTTTCGATTATAATGAGAGCTGGGATTAGTGGGGTGGGGGTTCCTTCTGGTAAGAGGTGGCCTAGGGAGATTGAAGGTTGGTTTCGTAGGCCGGTGAGTAGGGTAGCTAATCAAAGTGGGAAGGCTAGGGCTATGTTTATTGATAGTTGTGTAGTTGGGGTAAATGTGTATGGTAGTAGACCTAGCAGGTTAATTGTGAGTAGTAGCGTTGTTAGTGATGTTAGGATTAGGGCTCATTTGTGGCCTTTTTTGTTTAGTGGAGTTATTAGTTGTTTTGTGATTGAGTGGAGGGATCATAGTTGGATGGTGGAGAGACGGTTGGTAATTCATCGGTTGTTAGGTGTAGGGAATAGTAGGGCTGGGAATAGTATTGATAGTAGGATTAGCGGAATTCCTAGGAAGTAGGGGCTGGCGAATTGGTCGAAGAAGCTTAGGTTCATGGTCAGGCTCATGGGGTGGTTTTGGTGGTTGTGGCTGTTTTGTTGGAGGGGGAGTTGGTGGAGGTAAAAGTTATGAGTTTGGGTTGGATGACTAGTGAGAAGTTAATCATGATGTTTAATATAATAAGGAATCAGGGGTCTGGGTTGAGTTGAGGCATGTCATTAAGGAGGGGGGGGGGTCCTCTTTCTCTAGCTTAAAAGGCTAGTGCTGTTTCATAGCTTCTTAATGATTAGGATGATAGGAGTGTGGACCAGTTCTCGAAGTGGGTGAGTGGGGCAGATTCTACTACGATTGGTATGTAGCTGTGGTTGGCTCCACAGATTTCTGAGCACTGGCCATAGAAGATTCCTGGTCGGGTAGTAATGAATGATGTTTGGTTTAGTCGTCCTGGGATTGCATCGGTTTTTACTCCTAGGGTTGGGACGGCTCAGGAGTGGAGAACATCACCGGCAGTGACGATAATGCGGATGGGGGATTCTATGGGAATAACAACACGGTGGTCTACTTCTAGTAGTCGGAAGTGTCCTAGGGGAAGGTCTGTTGTTGGGATTATGTATGAATCGAATGTTAGGTCTTTGAAGTCTGTGTATTCGTAGGTTCAGTATCATTGGTGTCCGATGGCTTTGAGTGTTAGGTCTGGTTCGTCGATTTCGTCTATTATATACAGGATTTGTAGGGATGGTAGGGCGAGTAGGATGAGGACAATAGCTGGTAGAATGGTTCAGATTAGTTCTACTTCTTGTGCGTCGACGGTGTTTGAGGATAGTTTTTCTATTAGTATGAGTGTTAGGAGATAGAGTACTAGGCTGCAGATTGCTAGGGCAACTATTAGGGCGTGGTCGTGGAATTCGACAAGTTCTTCTATAATGGGAGATGAGGCATCTTGGAATCCGAATTGCGAGTGGTTAGCCATGATGGGGTGTACGGGGTTTTCACCTGTGATTTAGTCTTGACAAGGCTATGTAATTGGTTTACTAACACCCCATAAAAGAAAGAAGCATGAGTGGTTTGACATGCGGCTGGCTTGAAACCAGTATGTGAGGGTTCGATTCCTTCCTTTCTTGTACTTGGACGAAGGCTGGTTCTTCGAAGGTGTGGTAGGGGGGAGGGCAGCCATGGATTCATTCAATGTTGGTGGCAGTTAGTTCTGGTTGTAGGACTTTCCGTTTTGATGTAAGGGCTTCTCAGATGATGAATATTAGTATGATTACTGCAGTTATAGAGATTAGTGAGCCGATAGATGATATGGTGTTTCATATGGTGTATGCGTCTGGGTAGTCGGAGTATCGTCGTGGTATGCCAGCTAGGCCTAGGAAGTGCTGTGGGAAGAAGGTTAGGTTTACACCGGTGAATATGACTCCGAAGTGAGCTTTAGCTCATGTGGTGTGTAGGGTGTATCCTGTGAATAGCGGGAATCAGTGGGTGAATCCTGCTAGGATAGCGAAGACGGCCCCCATTGAGAGGACATAGTGGAAGTGGGCAACTACGTAGTATGTATCGTGCAGGGCAATGTCCAATGAGGAGTTTGCTAGGACGATGCCTGTTAGTCCTCCGATAGTGAAGAGGAAGATGAAGCCCAGGGCTCATAGCATTGGAGGATCTCATTTGATGGTCCCTCCGTGTAGTGTTGCTAGTCAGCTAAAGACTTTAATGCCAGTTGGGATGGCAATGATTATGGTGGCGGATGTGAAGTATGCTCGGGTATCTACGTCTATTCCGACTGTGAATATGTGGTGGGCCCATACGATAAAGCCAAGGAATCCGATGGATAGTATGGCTCATACTATTCCTATATAGCCGAATGGCTCCTTTTTACCTGCATAGTATGTTACTACGTGGGAGATAATTCCGAAGCCTGGGAGGATTAGGATGTAGACTTCTGGGTGGCCGAAGAATCAGAAGAGGTGTTGGTATAGGACTGGGTCCCCTCCTCCAGCGGGGTCGAAGAAGGTAGTGTTTAGGTTTCGGTCGGTCAGGAGTATAGTAATACCGGCAGCGAGTACAGGGAGTGAGAGCAGTAGGAGGACGGCTGTAATGAGGACAGATCATACAAATAGGGGGGTTTGGTATTGTGAGAGGACTGGGGGTTTCATGTTGATGGCAGTTGTGATAAAGTTGATTGCCCCTAGGATAGAGGAGACTCCTGCTAGGTGGAGGGAGAAGATGGCTAGGTCTACTGAGGCGCCGGCATGGGCCAGGTTACCTGCGAGTGGTGGGTATACAGTCCATCCTGTACCAGCCCCTGCTTCTACTGTGGATGAGGCTAGTAGCAGTAGGAAGGATGGGGGTAGTAGTCAGAAGCTTATGTTATTTATACGGGGAAATGCTATGTCGGGGGCACCGATTATGAGCGGAACTAGTCAGTTTCCGAACCCTCCAATCATGATGGGTATTACTATGAAGAAGATTATTACGAAGGCGTGGGCAGTGACGATTACGTTGTAGATTTGGTCATCCCCTAGGAGGGTTCCGGGTTGGCCAAGTTCTGCGCGGATTAGTAGGCTGAGAGCGGTTCCGGCTATGCCTGCCCATGCGCCAAAGATTAGGTAGAGGGTGCCGATATCTTTGTGGTTGGTTGAGAATAATCATCGGTTAATGAAGGTCACAGGTAAGATGGCCGAGTGTCGAGGCGTTAGGCTGTAGTCCTTTTTACAGAGGTTTAATTCCTCTTCTTATCAGTTCCGTAGTGAAATTCATGTTGAGTTGCAAGCTCATTGATGTGTGCTAAGAGCGCACCGGAACTTGCTTGATAGACGGAAGCCTGTTGGTTAGGGCGCTTAGCTGTTAACTAGGATGTCACGGGATCGAAGCCCGTCTGTCTAGGCAAGGCCCTAGCTTAATTAAAGCGTCTGGGTTGCATTCAGAGGATGCAGGTTAATATCTTGCGGGTCTTAGCAGAAACTAAGAGAGTTCAACTCTTGTTTAAGGCTTTGAAGGCCTTCGGTTTGGGTTATCCTAAGTTTCTAGGTGGTTGCTAGGATTACGGGGGAAAGGGGTAGGAGTGTAGTTGATAAGGAGGTAAGGATGGCAACTTGGGGGCTTGTTGGTTTGTAGGAGTACCATTGTTTTATGTGGTTTGTGGGGCTTGGTGGGAGGGTAATTGTCGAGTAGTATGCGAGGCGAAGGTAGAATAATAGCCCTAGTACAGAGAGTATGGCAATGGCTGTGGCTGTGGTAGTTATTTCTTGTTTACTAAGTTCTAGGATGATAAGTCATTTGGGTAGGAAGCCTGTTAGTGGTGGGAGTCCTGCTAGAGAGAGGAGTGTTAATATTAGGGTTGCGTTTAATATGGGGGCTTTTGTTCATGACGTTATTATTGTGGTTAATTTTAGGGTCTTGGTTGTGTTGAGTGTGAGAAATACTGTGATAGTTATTAATGAGTATAGGTAGAAGGTTAATAGGGTAAGTTTGGGGTTGTAGATGATGATGATGGTTATTCAGCCTAAGTGGGAGATGGATGAGAAGGCTAGGATTTTTCGGATTTGTGTTTGGTTTAGTCCTATTCAGCCCCCTAGGGCTGCTGAGGTGATGGCTAGGATGGTTAGTAATGTGGAGTTAAGTGTGTGGGATGTTATGAAGAGGATGGTAATTGGGGGGAATTTTATCATTGTTGATAGTAATAGGGCAGTGGTTATGGGAGAGCCTTGGAGTACTTCTGGGAATCAGAAGTGGAATGGGACTAGTCCCAGTTTTATTGCAATTGCTGCTGTCAGTAGGAGGCAGGATGTCGGGTGGGTTAGTTGGGTGATGTCTCACTGTCCTGTGAACCAGGCGTTAGTTATGCTTGAGAAGAGTATCAGTGTTGAAGCGGCAGCTTGGACTAGAAAGTATTTGATTGTGGCCTCGACAGCTCGGGGGTGGTGGGATTTTGAGATGAGGGGGATGATAGCGAGGGTGTTGATTTCTAGTCCGGTTCAAGCTATTATTCAGTGGTTGCTTGAGATTGTAATGGTTGTTCCTAGGAGGAGGCTTAGGTAAGAGATTAGTTTTGTATACGGGTTCATTAGTAGAGGAGGGGGTTAAACCATCATTTTCGGGGTATGGGCCCGATAGCTTTTGTTAGCTGACTCTACTAGAAAATAATATAGAGGAAGTATGGAGAGTTTTGATTTCTTCTGCGTAGGTTCGACCCCTACTTTTCTAATTGTATCTCAGGAAATGAGAGGGTTGGTGTACCTCTATGTTCACTTTATCATAGTGACCCTTTGTTCAGGCACATTTCCTTGAGCAAGGGGGTAGGCCTGCGTAGCAAATTGGTATGCTGGTGTGTCAAAGGCAAAGTGCTAATGTTAGTGGAAGGAAGTTTTTTCAGAGGAGGTGTATGAGCTGGTCGTAGCGGAAGCGGGGATAGGAAGCGCGGATTCATAGGAAGCCGGAGGAAAGGAGTAGGACTTTTGTGGCTAGGATTACTGGGAACAGTTCTGGGGATGGGTTGAGTGAACTTGGGTTGAGAAACAGAATGGTAGTTAGAGTATTTATTAGTATGATGTTTGCATACTCAGCTAAGAAGAATAAAGCGAATGGACCTGCGGCATATTCGACGTTGAAACCGGATACTAGTTCTGACTCTCCTTCGGTCAGATCGAATGGGGCGCGGTTTGTTTCAGCAAGGGTAGAGATATATCATATTATTGCGAGAGGTCAGGAGGAGAAGATGAGGTATAGTGGTTCTTGGGTTGTGGTGAGTGTAGTTAGGGTGTAATTACCGCTTAGTACAATGATAGATAGGAGGATGATGGCTAGTGTTACTTCGTAGGAAATAGTTTGTGCTACTGCCCGTAGTGCACCGATTAGGGCGTATTTTGAGTTTGAGGCCCACCCTGATCATAGGATTGAGTATACTGCTAGGCTTGATATAGCTAGGAGGAAGAGAAGGCCTAGATTTAGGTCAGTGAGGGAGAAGGGGAGGGGTAGAGGGATTCAGATTGTGATTGCTAGTAGAAGAGCTAGTATGGGGGTTATGGTGAAGAGGAGAGGGGAGGATGTGGATGGACGGATGGGCTCTTTAATAAATAGTTTTACTCCGTCTGCTACTGGTTGCAGTAGGCCAAATGGGCCTACGATATTTGGGCCTTTTCGGGCTTGTATGTAGCTTAGGATTTTTCGTTCTACTAGTGTTAGGTAGGCGACTGCGACTAGGATTGGGATGGCGTAGGATAGGGCTATGGTTAAATAGGTTAAAATGGGGTGTCAAATCATGGTTAGCTAGGGAGAGGATTTGAACCTCTGGGTAAAGGGCTTAAGCCTTTTGCATTTACCAAGCTCTGCCACGCTAGCGATCCTTTTCTAGGATGGGTAAAATGGTGTGTCCTGTTTGGTAGTTTAGTTGGGTTCACTACTTAGAGGGAAGGCATGCCTGTAGTATGGGCCTTGCTTTTCCGGTCCTTTCGTACTAGGAAAAGCCCGTCATAGATAGAAACCGACCTGGATTGCTCCGGTCTGAACTCAGATCACGTAGGACTGTTAATCGTTGAACAAACGAGCCCTTAATAGCGGCTGCACCATTAGGGTGTCCTGATCCAACATCGAGGTCGTAAACCCCCTTGTCGATATGGGCTCTTGGAGGGGATTGCGCTGTTATCCCTGGGGTAGCTTGGTCCATTGATCAATTATATTGGGTCTGGTTGCTGTTGGTACGTTGAGGGGTTGTTCTTGGTCAGGATGTGTGGTCTTGTTTTTGGAGGATCTGCTTTTCTCCAAGGTCGCCCCAACCGAAAAATGCGGGCCAGTGTTTTACTTGGGGTCGTAGGCCTGGTAGGTTTTGGGTTGTGTGGGGTGGCCGCTGATTTTTAAGTTCCACAGGGTCTTCTCGTCTTATGGGTTTATTCCTGCTTTTGCACAGGAAGATCAATTTCATTGATTGTCTGCAAGAGACAGTTAAGACCTCGTTTAGCCATTCATACAAGTCTCGATTTATGGGACAATTGATTGCGCTACCTTCGCACGGTTAGGATACCGCGGCCGTTGAACAGAGTGTCACTGGGCAGGCATCACCTCCAATACTTGGCTGGCTGAAGGCTATGTTTTTGGTAAACAGTCGGGCCTTGAGGTTGCCTAGTTCCTTTTGCAGATTTGGATCTTTCTAATGGGCGCTCCTGAGTTGGGCTAACAGGGCAAGTTTAATATTTGGCTTGTTTGGGGTTGGGGGTATTAGTTTGAGGCTTGTTAATAATGTGGTGATGTAAGCTTGCGCTTGAGAGGGTGGTCCCTGATTACTCATTTTAGCATTGATTCTCCTATTGTTATAGGTTGGCCCGTTATAGATAAGGGAGTCCTGTTGTTTTTGAATTTTTTTGGGGTAGAGCTTTGACGCATTCTTTGTTGATGGCTGCTTGAGGGCCTACAGTCTAGGGTCAGTTGGGTAGTTATCCGCTAGGGGAGGTTGTATTCTTTTTTAAAGGAGCTGTACCTCCTTTAAATTGCTCTTGATTCGCCACATGGTGGTTGTAGTTGGGTGTCCGGGGGGGGGCCTAGAGAAAATTAAGAGAGAACTTAGATTCATTTCACAGGCAACCAGCTATCACCCGGCTCGGTAGGCTTTTCACCTCTACTAACAAGTCATCCCACTCTTTTGCAACAGAGACGGGTTCGCTCAGGGGGTAGCTGCTTGTAAGTAGCTCGCTCGGGTTTCGGGGTGGCAAGCTTAAATTCATTTTGCTTGGTTGTTCTTACTAAATCATGATGCAAGAGGTACAAGGGTTTATCTTTGCTGTTTTTCGCTTGGGTTTTCATTACTATTTCATCTTTCCCTTGCGGTACGGATCTCTATCGCGCCAGTAGGCCTTTTCTGTCGCCCATACTAAGGCAGAAGAATGTTTTAGCTTAATTTGTAGTGAAGTAAATTTTTTTGGTTGTTTGGTTGTGTGTGGTTGGGCTAGAGTTTGGCTTCAAGGCGATCTGGTCGGCAGCAGATATCTCTCAGGTGTAAGCTGAGTGCTTTGTGTTATAGCTACGCCTTGATATGCTAAGTGCACCTTCCGGTACACTTACCTTGTTACGACTTACCTCATCTTCAGCCGGGGAAGGGTATTAGTTATATGTTATACGTAGCTTGTGAGGAGGGTGACGGGCGGTATGTACGTACCTCAGAGCCGGCTTAAAGTGGGCTTTATTGTCCCACCTTACTGCTAAATCCGCCTTCCAGGGGCAATTTCATGTCCCTTTCCGTGAGGTTATCTATTTTAGAAAATGTAGCCCATTTCTTCCACCCCATAGGCTATACCTTGACCTGTCTTGTTAGCGGGGTTGGGGCTATTATGCTCACTGTTGTTCTTTCAGGCGAGGTGAGCTGGCGACGGCGGTATATAGGCTGCTTTGGCAAGGAGTGGTCGGGTGCATCGTGGGTTATCGATTATAGAACAGGCTCCTCTAGGTGGGTGTGGGGCACCGCCAAGTCCTTAGAGTTTTAAGCGTTTGTGCTCGTAGTTCTCAGGCGGATACTTTGGTGATGGAAGGTATCAAGATTTAGGGCTAGGCATAGTGGGGTATCTAATCCCAGTTTGTGTCCTAGCTTTCGTGGAGTTTAATTAGTCGGGGCTGCTAAGATCATCTTGGAGGTGTTTTTAAATACATCTTGGGCTTATGACAGCTTAGCTGTATTTTGATCTTAGTTGTCAGGATAGCATGGTACCACTCTTTACGCCGTGTGACAGTTAATTTGGGTCTCTTGTGTGACCGCGGTGGCTGGCACAAGATTTACCAACCCTGAGTGCTGCTATAACTAAGTCAAGTTTTCACTTATTGCTTAATACTAATTACTGCTGAGTACCCGTGGGGGTGTGGCTAAGCAAGGCGTCTTGGGCTGCAGCAATGGGCGAGCCTGATGCCCGCTCCCTTTGTCTAGTTAATAAGAGCGTTGGGGCATTTACACTGGGGCGCAGATACTTGCATGTATATGTTTAGCAGAAATTAACGGTAAGGTTAGGACTAAGTCTTTTGTCCTTGGGTGCATGTAGCATCATCTTGGCATCTTCAGTGCCATGCTTTGGTTATAAGCTACAGGGAC